TCTCTAATATTTGTTTGCAAAACACTAACTCATTTGTATTTCTATAATTACTGTGATTTTTTGTCTTCTCACATGTAGTGGTTCATTCCTTCTGGCAGCATCTCTAGAACTACTGTTCTTCCATACAATGCACAGTATGAGAGACGATCTCATTTTAGCAGTGACCAGGCAGTTTTCTTGATGGGATGTAATTATGTTTCTAGTGCCATAACTTTATCTTTCTCATGAAATAAACAGTCTCCAGAATCTTGACTTAATGAGTTCTAAGGGTTGCCATTTTCAAACATGTGTCTTATCCATTATGTTCTTACCTTTCTACTTCACAGTTCAGTCAGTTTGCATCTCAAGGTAGGGCACAAGGCCTCTTACAGGAATTTGTTTATCTGTACGATATACTTCTGTAATAATGAAATACCACTTATATTTTTCTCAAAGAAAAGAAACAAAAACTTGGGGAAATGGTCAGAAAATATTAGGGGGAAAGTATACCCTAAAATTTCCAGAATGTGATACTCCTTTTCAGTTGTGAATCAAGGTTCGTCACATTAAGTTTCAATATTGTATATTACTTCTCTCAAGTCTTTCTCGTCTTCATAAATAATTGATAACTCTCTTAGATAATTCCCTTAGAGTTTTTTCCAAAAGCAACTTTAGAACTTTTGAACATTACCCAAATTTTAAAGAGGCAAAGAACTGTGGTGGCACAATTAGCATTCCATGTACTTATAATAGGACATGCATGGGGTATGCACGACAGGAATACAGAGTTCTAAACAAAACGCCCAAGTTGGCTCCCTTTTACCTGCAAACATAAGATCTACTCTTCAATTGTAATTTATTTATTAATTTTGTTTTTATTTTTATTGATTTTAGAGAGAGAGAGTAAGGAATAATGAGAGAAAGATTTGTTGTTCCTCTTATTTATGCATTCATTGGTTAATTCTTACATGTGCCCTGACTGGGGATCAAACCCACAACCTTGGCATATTGGGACGACACTCTAACCAACTGAGCTACTTGGCCAGGGCTAATTTATTTTAAAATGTATGTTCTCAGAGGGCAGGGATTTGTACTTGAGTTTTCCTTGTAGTGTCCCGCGTTTTGCTTACTACAGTAATTATTAAATATGACTCATGCACTGTAACAGTGATTTTCAACCTTTTTCATCTCATGGCACACAGAAAATAATTACTAAAATTCTGTGGCACACCAAAAAATGTATTATATTTTTTGCCGATCTGACAATAAATAGGTATAATTTTGATTCATTCACACCGCACAGCTATTATTGTGTTGGCTCTTGTCATTTTTTTAAATCTGACAGTCCAAGGCAGGGGTCCCCAGCCCCTGCGCCACAGACCTGGATCAGTCAGTGAGCAATGGACAAACAAGTAAAGCTTTGGCCTGCTCTCCTTCGGTCACATTACCCCTTGAGCTCCATTCCCATGAAACCAGTCCCTGGTGCCAAAAAGAGTGGGGACCGCTGATCTCAGGGAAAAGAGGTCAGTGACTGACTGAATAGTCAGGTTTTAAAAATTCTTGCACCAGTGTGCTGTGGCACAAGGGTTGGAAATCGCTGCAGTAGGAGGCCAAGAAATGTTATTGAAACAAAAATAAAACCTAGATGCATTTGGGAATCTAGAGACTGATGAAACGATACAGCAAATGCCAGAAAAGAGGCACTATCTCCAGGTTGCATCTCCTGTCATCTGAGACCTATGAAAGTCACTGCAGACACTGCCCAGAGTCCAGACACACACAGATGGTGGCTGTCAGGAGGTGACTCACTGTAGATTATGGCATTTAACAAAGCACAGAGGATGAGATATTTAGACAATAGCCAGGAAGCCCTCCTTTAGTCAACTGACTATAAATTTAAAGGAACAGCTTATTATTTATACCAATCTTGTTGAAATGGAAAGAAAGTAGAGTAAATTTTATGGGTCCACTTAACCCAGTGCTCCAAGACTAAGTCAAAATTCACATAGACTTCAAACGGACAAATGCTCAGAATACAGACATACCATTGCTGACCTCCTCAAAACAACTATCGAGCTATGTCATACGCCCTTCACTTCCAAACTAGCCCATTCTACTCTCAGAATATTTTATTCGTATGTAGATGCCTTTTGTTTCCCTACTTTAATAACAAATAGACATTGATGTTATCTGCTAGAAAAAAAGAAGACTGAGATCTGAAAAGCAGGCCCACTAAGAGAAGCATTTTGAGAGTAAAGAACCAGCTACTAACGCAGAACCGAGTTATTTCGTAAAATGCTAAAGTGGCCATTCATTCAAATGGGCATCTCCTGTTTGGGGCTCTTTCACGCAGTACTGCCAGGCATCGTCATAAATACCACAGGCTAAAATTTTCAGCGTTCATAGAATAAGGGTCATGTTCCCACCAAAGCGCAGCAGTATCTTTATTATCACCACGCAGTGTTTATTAAGGGTCTCCCAGTATACATGCCACAGTGGAGGGTGGGATCTCTATGACAAGCAAAAGAGGTTTTAGGTAAAAAGTTTAAAGCACCCTGAAAATGTGCTTCAAATGCAAGACAGATGCCATAAAATGAGTTAACATTTTTTCACAGGGTACGTCTCCTGGTGGATGAGGGCTATGGAGATCGAATTCTGATGGCACATGACATACACACAAAGCACCGGCTGATGAAATATGGAGGGCACGGCTATTCTCACATACTCACCAACGTTGTTCCCAAAATGTTGCTTAGAGGTATAACTACGAATGCACTTGATAAGATACTGATAAACAACCCTCAGCAATGGCTAACTTTCAAATAGGATGGTTATAAATTCACACCTTGAATATAAAGCTCACAGAGAACATTCAGTGATTTTTCAAACCCGCTGTGAGATGTTAATTAACCAGAGCTACATAGTAGTAATGACGGATCATTTCCTTTTTGTAAGAATTAGAAGCATTTTGCCTTCTCAGAAACTGCCTCTTACATCTGCACCTTTAGGGAGTCATCGTGCGTCATGGAGCCCTATTGCTTCGCTTTAACAAAATAAATACAGAAGTACCAACTTTCAAACAATGATTTACAGTTTAAATCCCTTCAGTGAAGTTTTGTTTTGTTTTCTTAATTTATCAGCCGTCCTATTTGAGAATTTTAAGTGTTTTTAGTTAAATTACCCCCTTCTGGAGCAATCCAATGCTTCTTGTGATATTGATGATCCAGCTAATTATCCTGCTGTTCTTTAATTAATGCTTAATGAATAATATGGCACTTTAAAAAACCTTCTTCAGCAAGGGAAGATGAATTTTAAGATTTTTTTTCCCCCAATGGATACTGTAAGACAATTACCAACTTACAATGGTAAAAATATTGTGGAAGGTTAATTATGTGCTGTCTACCTATCTATATATACTTATAATAAATCAATTGTGTTGCCTGCGGCTTTCTGGCATCCATTTTTGCTATAAATTTTGTTGTGTTTTGAAAAATTTGTATAAGGGGGCATGAACACATACCGTAATGCTGAATTATAAAAATTCAATCATGAAAGTCAGAATATATTACATAATATAGTTTAATGAATCATTACATTTAGAATAACAAAGGCCACAATTTAATTAATAATGTATAATGCAAAAAAATGTTTGCCATATATATATACATATATATGTATTCCCTTTACTTCCTTTACCTTTTCTTTGTTTTTCCTTGGGCCTAAATAGAGAAAATAATGCTTATTTACCTGAAGAAAAGGTCAGATCTACTAGAAATGACAGTCTGATTCTAAAGCCTACTCTCTAAAAGGTTCCCAGCCCTGATGATTTATGTAAATAAAGCCTTTTAAAAAAACTCTTAGTTAAAACTCTTAGTTGATATGCAGTGCTGTTTATAAATTAATCTTTTTGTTGAATCCTCAGTATGCTGTTACCTAAAAAAAATAAGAAGAAAAAGAATTCTCCAAACCCTGTTGCCAATTCCTCTTTAATAAGTATATATTGTTAAATTGAAATAAAATCCATTGCAACTCTTTTATGAGTTATCTTATATATTACGAAAGTCAGAGATGGAATTAGTCCTTATTCTTGAAGAATGGGCTGAGTATTTGTAATCCTATAACCGTGACAGTTACCCAGACTAAGGCATTTAAACCAAGCAAACTGCACCTTCAGACGGGAACACCATGTAACTCTTTGGGAAAGGTGAGGTTTGCTAAATGAAAGATATTTCTGTGGATCAAAGATGATCAAGTTTTCTGTGTGTAAGAACAGAAAGTACCCAAGAGGAAAGAGCCAGGAGAACAAACTAATTCTTTAAATGAAAAAAATGCAAATATCCTTCACTAGGAAAACAAGCAGATTTTTGAACCTCTGGTTTTGAAATCTACTTGTCAAAGAGTCTTCAAAGGCAGCTGAGAGGGGAACAGATTTTTCCTTGTAATAGTGGAAGTTGTCTGATAGTTAGGATCTATCAATATGCATTGTTAATCTTTTTCTTAGTTTTAAAGAGATGGCTTTTGGCAGTATATTTCAAATAGAAAGGATTTGCACTATTCTCAAAACCTACTTTACTGTCAGCTTCAATCCACCTGAGGAAAAAAGAAAAATTGATAATTCAAATGCATATAATTCATAAACACTACAAAGGAGAGCCACTTTGTTTCAGCAATCCTAGTGCTAACAGTCTGCCACAGAACGCAGTGAGAAGTATTGATTGGCAGAGGATAATAGAGCAGCCCTAGGCTTAATTTACAGACATGTGATGGATAGGACCTAATACAATTCAATTGTCTGGATAACTCTTAAAAGAGAAGTCATTTAAATTATTTTGCTATTCCATATATTTTTGTCATCCAAAATATATTTCAATCCAAAATAAATCAGATAATTTATGTGTGTGTGTGTGTGTATGCATACACATATATATTTTTTAAATTAATAATTTGAGGCCATATCAGCCACTGTGCCTATATATAGGTCTGGTCTGAGGCCATATATATATATATTCATCTCTCTCTCTATGTGTGTGTGTGTGTGTGTGTGTGTACACACACACACATATGTGGCAGGTATTTCTATAAAATATATACACTTTGTTGTCATACTGGTTATATGTGAAATTGTTCATTTTGAAATAACCTCAGGCCACGACTTACATTAACTATTGGAAGGCCTTACTTTGCGTCCCCTTGGTGATGCATGCAGTAGCTCAAATTAAAGCTTTATGTGTTGGGTTATGAATAATCTTTTGTTCCAAAGAAGGCAAAAGCCTCAGTCTGTTTTAACACCAAAGAATACATTTCTCTGACTTTCCAAGTAAATCTAAACACATTCTATTGACAAAATGGACACTTAAGGGATTTTCTAATACCATACATAGTACACATTTTCACACTTAGAGGGTAAACCTATGATACAATTTCAACCTCTATTTTTAAAGACTATCACCAGAAAAGAGAAAAGAAAATTCATAAGAAAAGAAATGGGAAAATGACCATAGGCTTGGGAATTCGCTCAAATCCAGAAAATTCCAGGTTAAGGCTTGAAGTTGAATCATTCCCAGGTCTAGCTCTAAAGTTCACAAGAGTACAAGGCAAACAATTTCTTTGGGGACAAGCAGCATTGTTTCAATTAGACCTTCTCCTGCAGGGTAAAATCATTCCTCCCCACACTATGAATGGACTCCGAGTATCATAATAAGCAGGTACACTCACAAGAACCAAAGCTGACATGGGTAAGAGCAGCAGGGTCACGGCACACCAAAGTATCATAGAGATTGAAGAAATAATTCGTGTCTTAGATTTTTCTATAAAAATTTGTTATCTATATAGGACTTCATTCACATGGACACTAACAATAAGGAGTATTTGCTTTGGCGGTAGTGGATCACACATCTGCTTATCTTGCTTTTAATATTTTTTTTACATAATGTTTCTGAGACTACAGATGTGAGTCAGGTAGCATTTGAATCCCCCACATATACACATCGGAGGGGCCCCGCAACTGGCATTCCCCTGGGATCCTTGATTCAATGATGTTAGCCGTACGAATCCAGTGTCCAGACTCAGAACAGTAAGCTCAGTTTCTACATTATCAGTCAGCGTAAATGATAAATCCAGAAAATGTGCTGTATTTGTTGTTGTTTCCTCCGTGGGCTTTTCCACCATCTAATTTGATGTAGACTTCATCTCCTGGCTCCAAATGAAGGACCACACTGTTACTGGCATAGTCGTAATTCTGGTCCGCATCCTGGGCGATCGCACTAGCACGCACCTATGGGAAACATACAAGAGTTAGAATTTGGCAAAGAGAATCTTCAAGTTTTCTTTTAGGCCATTTACACAGCATCACAAGCCGATGTGCTTCCGTAGCACAGAACTGACACGGAAATGTCCGTCTTGGCCGTGGACCTTTATGAGGATATTTTGCAGTTGTTTCAACCATGTTATTGGAAAGGAGGAATGAAAAGGAGAAAACTGCTTTTGTGAGAGTCATTCCAGCAGTCTTTCCTTATTATATGTTATGAAAAGTGCATGCCAATTTATTCTCTTCCTAAATCACTACATTTTCTAAGTCTTGGAATCTCTGTGCCCAATCACTTCTAGAAATTGAAATAATATAGTAACATTTTGCACTTTAATTTATCCAAATAGTAATATTGTAAACAGGTGTTGATGAACACAGGAATTCAGTCCAAACTTCAGCTGGTCCTCACAATTATTAGAACGCTGAAGTACACAGTAGGTGCAACTCAGAAAAATACTACTCTAACTCAACTATACAGGGGAGGGGAAAAGGAAGAAAGTCATTTGATCCGGGACTTTCAAAATTTAAGTCAAGTCCCCTTTACCAGAAGTTTAACTCATACAGACATCGGTGGCTGTATCACCCAACTTTTCAGGATTTTTTTTCTAGTTGTACCTTTTGATCACTTAATTGTGATGCATGCAAATAAGTCATTTAATTACAACATATCTAAATTATAGAAGGAACTAAATTTCTATGATTTGAAGTCTTTCAAATTGCTAGAATTTTGGAATGATCTCATTATATGTGTGGCTTGCTTTGAAGATGGAGCTTGCTTACAAATCCACTCTGTGATCTCATTAGTGAGTTGACAGACATTTGCAAACAGTCAAATTGCCTATCATGTCAAGTAACGTGGACATTCTGTCACATCCTAAACTCAAATTAGGCTTCATGTCCATTTAGCTAGATTTCGATTCTGCCTTGGAAAAAAATTTTTCAATAGGCAGAGTTATATTTGTTTTATTTCAGTAAAGCATCTACTTTGTGGCTTGTTTCTATTCCAGTATAATGATATTTCCCTGAAAAACATAGCAAGTGATTTAGTGGTTTTGTAAACCTGCACTATGTAATAATGCATGACTTGGGGTACAATATGCCAGATTTTATCACTTGGTAAAATGAGGGAGATGAGACATAAGTCAAGAATTTCCATGCATGTCTTTCAAAATGTAAATGATAGGTTTTCAAATTAAATTTTCATGTGATATATTCTCACATTAATGCTGAAATGTTAAAAAAAAGGAGAAGGCTCTTTGACACTGCTGAACTTGTAAAATAATTTAAGTAGTATTTTAAAATTTCCTTTCTGAATATCATATAGCAAAAGGAGAAAAGGGCTTGCAGGATTTATTATTCTTTAACACCTTGCTAACTGACACTAATATACTAATAGCAACATACCATGCAATTATGCTCAGAAGCACTGACTGAAATGTATACACCAATTTAGTGAGGTGATCTGTTTCGACCATTAAGTTATAATACAACTTAATGTCATAATATTTCCTAGGAATTAATCATAAGTTTGTAGGAGTTTAGTGCTTTGATTTATTAATTTCATCTTGCCATTAATTCCCAGGGAAAAAAATATCTACAAAGAAGATAGTGCTATTATGACCTGACCTTTTTTATGTGTGGACTTTTAATGTGTGAGAAAAAGTAAAATACAAAATAGTAATTAGCCATATTAATAGTATATTAATTAATTACCAATCCATAATATACTTCTCAGCTCTTATTTGTAACCAGACATATTTTATTTACTTTAGGCATTTACTATGTGTTCTATGGGTATTGTGCTTTAAGACTTTTCTATATGAAGGCATTTGGGAACCAGGACTCATTAAAATTACTTGATTCAGCAACACTCATCTTAAAAATACTGAAATGCAGTTTTTATTTTTTTAGGGTATAACCACAAACCCATGTAATTATTACCATTTTTATTCAGTATGGATAACCACACAAAAAAGTGTAATCTCACAGCCTGGAAGCTACCCTTACAGTTTTGCTTCCTTTGTGAAAAAAAGCCAGTGTGATTGCTTTTTAATGAAAGTGAATCTCTAAGATTCTAACCTGTATGGTACCATAAGACTTTCCCAATTAGATAACTGCCATATTCAAGTGTACTTTGTGTGATCTTAATATTCCTGCTCACCTGATCATACTCTGAAGGTGTAATGGCACTTAAAACTTCAAGCTCTGGTCTCTCGCTCAGTGACTTCCAACAATTTCTCCTTTAAGCCATCAAACTATTGAGGAAGGTAATGCATCCGCCCTGGAGGCTATTTTCAGGTTCCTAAATGTACTCTTATTTTAGCATTTTCCCTGGGAATATGATGCATCCTTTCCCTGGTTCACTATATCCATTTCTATATAAATGTACTCTAATATCTTTTCAATATTATAAGTTAAGTATTTAGATTCTGCTTGATCTTTAGTGCATGTTTCATGGCCCCTAAAAAGATAATTAATTTGACATTTTATTAATCTCACTAATAAATGAATTATCAACCCACAAACTATTCACTGTTCCCAATATACCACTTGTTCACTGGTGCCGTAACTAATAAGTTGTTAAAGCAAAAATTGGCCTTTAATGATTTCACAGTTTTAATCTTGAGCCTGTTTAAATTTTTATCATAGTGGCTGGTTACAGTAATATCATAATGATTGTATTCAAATAGCAATATTTTTATTCAAGTTTTCTGCTAAAAATATAGAAAAATATTAAAAATATTTTCTGTTTCTATGTAAAGCTATTTGAGTCCAATTTTTACCTTTAATATGCACTGTCATGGGCTCTCAACAAATAATAACATTAAATTTAGGTTGATGGTTTCATTGGGAATATGAGAAGTGCACATATTTGTGAGAATATAATAGGTTGGGTAGCTTTAGCATTATCATATTAGTGAGGGTTTATCATTAGAGACAATATTTATGGTAACATTTGCTAATTTAATTAATTGCTACTGATGTTCTCATAATTTCATTTTCATTGTACTTCTGTGGAATCATAAACAAAAGGTTAAGTGGTGCATCAGGTTAATTTACTGGCCTTGGATGTTTCCATCTGTGATCCTGCATTAACACAAAGCATAAATAAAATGTTTCTCTTCTGGTAATGGTCCAGAGGCATTTCTCTATCCTACAGTGAACTGCATTTTTAGTGCAATTTTTGTGTTTCTCTAATCTGCTTAATCCACAGAACATTACACTGACATGGATCTCTGAGTTTCTGTTTTATGAAAACAAATTAGGTCAGTTCAGAGCAGGAAACTGTCATTCTAAGAAGTGATCAGACAAGAGCCTAATTGAAAATCAAGGTAAAATATTTATTCAATATTAATCAAGATATATAAGATTTCTCATCTACAACTGTGTGCAGACCAGACTTTGCAAAATAGTTTTATTCTAGAGAAAAACTCCCTTAACAGTAATATTGTAGTAACCATTTTCCAAAATACCCCATGCGGAACTCAAAAATGTATTGTTTGTTACTATATTTATTTTTCTGAATTATTTGTTGCACACCTTTGTAGAGTAGCAGGTTAATAATGACAATGAAAAGCCTCATACACGTAAGGTCAGCTGTTTTGCCTTGTTCTTTTTTCCTGACCCTTAAGAATGTATACACTAGGGTGATACAAAGCAGCAGTCCACACTCCAAACAATGAAATAATTTAAAAACCAAATGCACAGAGGATACGTATGTGGAATGGTTTTCTTGGAATCAGTGTAACATACCTGGGCTCGGCAGTCTAGAGATCAACATTTAAAGTAATTTAAATGTATAGGTCCCTGGTTTCTCATGCAATTGCAATTTCCACATATTTAAAGATGTGAGCACTTTTATACATTGGCCGATTAAACTTGAATTTTATTCCATTTCAATGAATACCTCTAAAAACAATCTCTGTAGCATGATAGTAATTTCCAGGCTTAACCTTTGAGTCAGAAGATAGCCAATTTGTAAATAAATGGGTGACTCTGCCCGCCACCAAGGAGCTGTTCACAAACCCTTTTGCAAGGGTGACACAATAGCTCCATATTGGTAGGTGAGTCATGCCCCTTTTTAGCCATTTACCTATTGCTCTGCAGATAATTTTTATTTATCTTACTATTATTTTTGTGCATAATAACTATCATAAACAGCCCTTTCAGTGCCTCCTGGTGGACATTATTTCTCCTTTTGTTCTATAGAGTACTGACGGTTCCTTAAGCAATTTATTTCTAAATTCCTTTAGAGGTGAGGGGTGGTAGGAAAGGGGAGGGATGGCATTTTTTTGTCCTTTCTCCTATACATTTAGGATATTTTTCTTTCATTTCGGAACAATTCTGACCCTGAATTAGGTTTCTTGAAGAAATCCAGCTTCAATGCTGCTTCATAGAAACCTGAGTTATGGCTAAAAAGGTCTGAATTTAGGAGGCGAGTGACCAAGTCACACAGACTTTGTTAAATCAGAGCTGGCCATGGCAGGGTCGCAGACCATTCACTGTCACCCAATAAACCAAGTTACAGTCCAAGAACTCAGTCCAGACTGCAGGCTGCAAGGCCTCACCCTCAGCGTCCACCGATTCTGTCTGTACAGAGGGTCTGATTGCACTTTCAGGCAGTTACAGATATTTTCCTCTTGTGACTAAAAGATAAGACACACTTTGAATTTGCAAAGATTGCAAATTTCTCCAGCAAACTGGAAAGTTGGCCCAGTATAAAATTGCAGCCATGTGGCTCTTGTGGCAGCGCCAACGAGCTCAGGAGAACAGCAAGTCTTCCTGGCCCAGGGCTAATCTGAGGCTATTTCATAGTCAAGGCCGTGAAGGCTGCTTCTGTGAACTAGAGAGCTAGGGTTGGAAGGACCACCACGCCGGCGCTCCAGGGCTTTCTGGCTGTGAGGCCCGTGCCCCGAGGCTGGACTGGGCTCCTGCCCTCCTTTCCACACGCCTGTGCGTCCTAGCACCAACTCCAGAAAGCGGGGTTTGGGTTCTGTGTTTGGGAGTCTGTTTTACAGTGTTAACTCATGAACCTCAACTTTTCCTTCCATTATCAGCACTCATTACCTCTCCCCCCTTCCTCTCCCAGGCTGAAAACTAAACCGGAGTCTGTGTGTTGAGTTCGACTATACGAGAGTTTCCCGGTCTGGGACGCAGGTCCCAAGGTCCCGCTGGAACTTGCTCCTTTGGGACACTCCTTTCTCCCTTGGGCCCTTGTCTTCCCCCGCCCCGCCCCAACCTCCCCGAGCTCGGGTTTGTCGCCCTGGGACGCTGATGCTGGACTCCCCCAATCCTCCCATTCCCGCCAGAGCCTGCGAGCAACAATGCTATGGTGCTGAGAACCCCACAGCCGGGTCGCTTACTGCTGCTCTCGGACTTCCCGGTACACAAGCTGTTCCGGGAACCGAGCTCTCGGCTTCCCGCCCCTCGGGGGTCACACTCACATGCGTAAGCACCGAGCGCAGGTCCTAGGCTCGGAACCGCCCTCTCGGGGCCGCTGGGAGCCAGCCCCCTTTGGCTTACGACCCCCGAATCCCCAGAGTGGAATAGTGTACTCTCTCGCATTGCTCCGGAGAGCCCCCGCTGAAGTGCCCTTTCTCCGCAGACTCCCACCCCATTTCCGGGGTCTCCTCCCTCTCGCCCGCACCTTCCAGCGCTCCTTCCCCGCCCTCCCTCCCGCTGTCTGTCTGCACTCACCTGGTTGTTCTTGCAGAGATCAGCCCACATGCTGGTGCCGTCCCCACCGCGCATCAGGACGTGGTAGGTGAAGAAGTAGATGCCCGGGATAGAGCAGGTGAACTTGCCCGTGGTGGGATCGTAGTGGTTACCGAGGTTGGTGACCACGTCGTCGAACTTGAGCACCTCGTAGCCTTCATGCTGCCGCTTGAGGCCAGCGTAGAAGGCGATCTTGGGCACCGTGCTGTAGGTGGCCGCGCTGATGGCCCCGGCCGCGTTCAGGCCGGGCGCCCCGGGCGGACCCGGCAGGCCTTGGCGGCCAGGCTCGCCCTTCTCGCCCGGCGGGCCCACGGGGCCCGGTGGCCCAGGCTCACCCGGGGGGCCACGCGGGCCCGCTTTCCCGGGCCTGCCGGCCTCGCCTTTGGGGCCCTGGATGAAGGTGGGCAGGGACTGCATGAGGCCGCGGTCGGGCGTGGCGGCTGTGCTGGGTGCCTTGGTGCCCCCGTAGGGGTCGCAGACCATGCGGCAGGTGCCCAGCATCTCGTAGTGCGCCGACGTGCCGGCCGAGCTCACCAGCACCGGGATGAGGATGACCAGCAGCAGCACCATCACCACCCCCAGCGCCCCGGCGGCGATCAGGCGCCTCCTGCTGCCCACCAGCCGGCTCAGCGCGGGGCGATCCTCCTGTCTGCTTTTGGACAAAATTTTGAAGGTTGGGCGGGGACCTCTTCAGAGCCGAAAATAAGCCCCTGCGAACCCCAACTCCCCTGGGCGGGCGGGCGTCGGCCGCTCCTAGGCTGCTCCCGCTCCCCCCGCTGAGGCTGCGGCTGGGGAGGGAGCTCGGACGCCTAGTGACTTGAGCTGAAGTCCCGAGCTGGGGGTGGGGGCTGGGGGAGGGGTGCGCAGTGCGCCCTCTCGCCTCTTCCGAGCCCCTTCGCACCTGTGGCTGCCGACACTCCGGGAGGCCACCCGCCGCTAGGAGGGCAAAGCCAGCCGCTGCCTCTCCCGCTCGCCAGGGCCCGCTCACACTTTTATGCCACTGACTGCGATCGACTTTTCCGTTTTTGCAGACTGCGCCAGTTCGCACCAACTTTCCCTCTGAAGTTGCCTTTTTCTGCCTCCTTCTTCTCTTCTTTCGCTTGCTGTGTTCACCCTTCCTCTGCCTTTTTCCTTCCTCCTTTGCAACCACCGCAACTCTAGTAGACGCGCACCGCCAAAGACTCGCGCGGGGCGCGCGAGCTGGGGCCAGCCGCTCCCGCTGTGCGCGGTGGGGCGGGCACGGTCGCTCGGCGAGGCTCGGGGCTGGAGCGGAGGAGCTAAAGAGAAGCTAAAGAGCAGCAGCGGTGAGCGCCTCACGGCCGGGAGCCGAGGGAGAGAGAGACTGAACGTAGAATTCAGCCTGGGTACCACCTGCCAGCAGAAGAGGAGGCTGAAAACGCGCGCCGGAGCAATTTATAGGCACCCAAGGCACAGAGGAAGGGGAGCCGCTTTGGCATCTCATTGCAGCATCTGCTCTGCTCATCCCACTCAGGGAGAGTTTGGCATTACTCTGACAATGTGGGATTTTTTTTTTTTCCCTCTCCCCTCACCCTTCTGCACATGGATGAACAGTGAGATCCTGTATATTCCCTTGCTGAAGCCAGATGATGGCAGGGCTCTCGCTGGACAGACCTGAGGGGCGGGAGACAGATGTGCAATAGCCTTCAGAACTCAAGGGTCACACCTAAGCCCCCTGTGTCACCACTGTCAGCAGCCCCAGTTGGAGGGTGGAGAAGGTTGAAAGGAGGATGGCTTGGTTGACAGTATTTCTCTACAAGCTCACCCACAATCAGCGCTTCAGGTGTTTTTTCAAAATGCCATTTTAACATAACGAGGGCCCTTTAGAATTTTCCAGATGGTAGGGTGTGTGTGTGTGTGTGTGTGTGTGTGTGTGTGTGTGTGTAACCTTACGGTTTTCCTCACCACCCTTCTAAAATGAAATAAGATGTTACCCAGAGAACAGTAAAGTGTGTTGAAAAGCCAAAGGACATTTCTCAATGATTTTAAATGAACATGCCCACCACATAAAAAGGGGAGGGGTTGGTTCTTTTTACAACTGTTGCAAATGGTGAGTGTATACAGATATACTCCACTTACGGGTTTACAATTCTAGCAACCTTTCAGGAGATACAGCCGTCGGAACTGAAGCTGAATTTACTTAAGGGTGCTACATGTATAAGATATCATCACTTGTCAAAATGCCTTCAAAAGTCTTAAGATAAAGTAAGCAGCATTTACCAAGTGCTGGGGAAGATCTTTTCCTAAGCTATGGAAAGGGTCTTATAAGCTCCTAGCACATTTCCTGCCTGTACATGGGGGGGGGGGATGGGCAAAACAGAAAAATATAAGAAAGAAGAGCCCCATTTACTGTGGGAGAGCGGGCGAAGGAACAGCCTGGATTTATAATATTAACGGAAAGCCTGCAGAGTAGATATTAGGCAAGTTATCCTACCAGCACATACAAAAGACACTCAAGAATGGCTTGAAATAAACAAGTGGCATTGATTCGTAAATCATACTTTTGCATTCAGGAGCAATGGATGTCAATCAAACATGGGTGACATTTGCTTGTCAATACGGGGATGATAGCTGGAAAGACAGAGACTTATTACATCAGGGCAAGAATGTGAAATGAGAAGCAAGAACAAATAAGACTAGGGCAAGCAAACAAAACAGTAACATCTGGGTGACAATCTTGCCTCTGGGCCCCCCAGCATGGACCCCTCCTTTTCTGCTCCTTCTGCCTACCCTGACCCCACGCTATTAGTTTCATTCTTTCTTTCCTTCTTTCAAAACTGAATAAGGTCAAATAAGCAGGCAGAAGGAAACAAAAGGTCCATTGCTTCTTATAAGAGAAATGTCAGCAGCTCCTTCAGGTCTTTCCTGGGACAACTGACGCTGAGTGTCCGGCAGCGGGGCGGAGCCTGGCCCAGGTCCCCCCAGTACCTCCCAGCCTGGCTGCTGACACACTCCTGCTACTGGGGACACCCCTTCCCACGTCTCCAATGTGTGTCTAGGTCTTGGGCATAATTATACATCCATTTCAGAATATCTCTATTCATATGAGCTGCCTTATTTTCACATGTTTAAGCAGCAGACACAGTTAAGTTCTGTCCTGGACATAACATCTATTTTCCTAACACACCTTCTGGGTTGCTTTGCAAAAGTCACCTTTCTTTTGAAGGACAAAATGGTAAAAAAGATGTGGTGTCAGCAATACAGAATAGTGAGTTGTTGAAAGAAACTCTTCGGTGATAACACCGAAGTATCAAACTTCCTAAAACCTCTTTATTGCTAAAGGGAGTTTGGTGGGGGATAAAATTTGGGGTTTTCCAAATGTAGAATTGTATAAACAAATTCTCATCAAAAAATCTCAAGATGCATGGCGTCCCTCTTTGAAGAATGCTCATCTCATAGAGAAACCCATCAAGGATAACATAAAATAGCAGAGTTGGAACGGACCCTAGAAAGCCAGCCTCCACCTGCTCACTTTGCAAACGGTGAGACTCAGACACAGAGCTCAGAGCACAGCCAGGCCATCCGATGTGAGTACGGCATGCCTCATTTTACTGCACTTCATGGAGACTGCATTTTGTGCAAATTGAATGTTTTTGGCAACCACCAGCGAAAAGGTGATGACTCGCTGAAGGCTTAGATAATGGTTAGCATGCTTTCGCAATAAAGTATTTTTAATTAAGTTATCTACATTGCTTTTTAGACACACTGCTATGGCACACTTAATAGACTACAGTATAGTGTAAACATAACTTTTATATGCACTAGGAAACCAAGAAGTCCTTGTGACTCGCTTTATTATAATATACACTTAATTGTGGTGGCCTGAAACCAAACCCAAAGCATTTCCAAGGTGTGCCTGTGAACTTTCTTATGCATCGCAATATCAACAACACATTCCAGTGCAGCCCACGACCTACCTTCCTGGTCCCAGTAATTGAGGCTTTCATCTTTCCATTTTTTTCTAGTGCCAAAGCAAAGCTTGATTCTGCAAGCGAGGGCTCTAACAGCTCGAAGTTCTGCTGAGATTTGGAGTGGCGCTCAGAAGTCATCGCTCACAGTGAGGACATCACCTCCCAGGTCACAAGGCTGACCCCAGTCTTTCAATTGAGTGCACACACCCGGGCAGTGCATGAACATTTGGGGTTTTTTGGTGAAGTTTAAATTATTGGCCCCTGTCCTTTTCTCCAGAAATGTCCCACCATGTACTTTGGGAGGAACTTTCTTCTTCCCCCGCCAAGATTTTCAGGGATGACTGGGTAGTAGATAAATTTATGTCTGGGTACTGCCACTTTCCACTGCTTGAATTTCTCAGAAGGTTCTCTGGAATGTTACTCATGCTTCAGCCCTGATTCTGACAGTTTGAATAAACCATCTGATATGGCATATTACTCATCATCTTTACATGTATATAATAATAGAAAATGTGTCAATTAAAAAAAATATTTGATTTCTTCAGTCCTCATCAGAGAAACAAGCTCTCTCTCATATTCAATATTAATTTTGGAAGTAGGCCTTGGAATCTAATTTTCTTCCCAGCTCTTCCCAGTCATTTCTCAAGAAAATACCAGGCCCCATATATTCTCATTCCTTCTGTACCTAGGCCTTTGGGACCCTTAAATGATAAAGTAGAATACAAAAGCCCAGGATCGGCGTTGGGTGACAAAGCTGTGATTTTCACCTTCCCTTCCTCATTTGTCTCTTTGGGAGAACTGAGCCGACCCTGAGGACATGACCCCCACACGGACGTGCAGGGCCGCCCATTCATCTTGGCTGAGCGCCCCACCGCGGCAGACGTCTGCACTGGGCTCTTCCTGGGCAAACAATTATTTAGTCACGAGAATTGTTTCCAAATTGAGTAAGACTTACACAGAAATAGCATTTCTTATAACAGGAAAACAATAATTACCAAACTCAAGGGATATCTAGAGAAACAGACAAATAATATAAAAATGGGACTGGAGTAGTTGTTGCTCCTTAATTTCTGGGTCTCCAAATTAGATTTCAGAACAAACACTTCCTTTGATGACAGAATTATAAGTTTCCAGTCAGAAATGGTCTCCCTGGAGTTGTGGAATCCTAACATGCACCTTTGGAATCAAGATGGGTCTAAACTTGAATGCTTTAGTAGCTATGAAAGTCACTTAGTCTCCCTGAGATTTAATTTCCCTTTCTATAAAATGGGAATCACACTAATACCTAATTCATAGAGTTGTGGTGGTGATTTAGGTAAGGACTATTATTACAGTGACAACATATAATGAGAGTCCAGGAAATGTCAATGTTAGTACACTGTCAGGCAACAGAGTAGTGCATATGTTTATGATTTGGATGGTATAACACAAGGCTAATTAAAGGGAGTTAAACCTAAAGCGTCAGGCTTAAGACAAAGAGCATCAAGTGGACAATAAGTATTATAGGCTTATACAAAACTAGAAAGAACACAAAAGTTCTCCAGGAGAGTTGCCTATGTGTACTCTCCTATAATATAAAGTAAAGCCGCACAATGTCAAAACAAGGATCACTTTACCATTCTCTAAAGAAACACAGTTTTGGAGCAAGGTCACTTCATTTCACTGCAGTTTGACAGACACAGTTTTGGGAGTCACAGCCTAATAGGAAGAATGAGAACTTGCTTTTTGTCCTCTGGAAAGTTCCCCAAGTCAACAAGTTGCAAGCCTATTTAGACATCACTGAATAGTTATT